ACTCTGCTCGCTGCTAAAACAAAGGTCGCGCCGATCAAAACCGTAAGCATCCCGCGCTTGGAACTGAACGCTATCGTCCTCCTCAGCCGGCTAATCAAGTGGACCTTGACATCGTTGAAATTACCTTCGATTCCAATATACGGATGGACGGATTCGACCATCGCTCTCGCGTGGCTCCGTCAACATCCATCAAAATGGAGCACCTACGTGGCTAACCGCGTATCCGAAGTGCATACCTGTCTGGATTCTGTTTGTTGGAATCACGTTCCGTCTCGAGATAATCCGGCGGACTGTGCCTCGCGCGGCTTGACCGCCTCCGAGCTCGTGACTCACCCGCTATGGTGGAACGGTCCACGATGGCTTCAGAAGCCATCAACTGCGTGGCCGATTCTGAATGTCTCAGCTCCGCTCGACTCTGCCACCAATCAGCAGGTGTCGGTGGAAAGAAGACGGCCTGTGACGCTCCATGTTCAAGAGGCCGAGGAATGGGAACTCCCATATAGGTTCTCCACTTGGACCAAGCTTGTCCGCGTGACTGCCTATATGAATCGCTTTATTCTTCGTGTAAAAGAAAAGAGCGCGTCTCGCTCCAAACTCTCCCCCCTTCTGAACGCCGATGAGTTTAGGAGGGCGGAAATCTTCTGGTTGCGCTATCTGCAACAGAGATTCTTCGAGCGGGAAACGCGCTCACTAAAGAATAACGGCACCATGCCGCATTCGAGCTCGTTGAGCAGATTGAGTCCTTTTCTAGGAGAGGACTCTTTACTCCGTCTTGGCGGGCGATTGACGAATTCCGCGCTCAGCTATGACGAGCAACATCCTATAATAATTCCGAAACATCACTTATCCGATCTCTTAATTGATCGCGCTCATAAATCCACGCTCCACGGGGGGACACAGCTAGTACTCCGTGTGCTGCGTCAGCGATACTGGCTCATTGGAGGCCGCAGCTCAGTAAAGGCGCACATTCGAAAATGTGTAGTTTGCACTCGTCACGCGGCTAAATTGTCTTCTCAGTTCATGGGCGACCTTCCAGCCGCTCGTGTCACCCCTTCGGCGCCTTTTACTCATTGTGGGGTTGATTACGCCGGCCCACTCCACGTAATTTCATTCGTCGGCAGAGGGCAAAAGGCCAGAAAGGTATATATCGCTCTGTTTGTTTGTCTTGCTACAAGGGCGATTCACCTCGAATTAGTGGAAGATTACTCCACGCCCGGCTTTCTTGCAGCCTATCAGAGGTTCGCTAGCCGAAGAGGTCTGCCGCGTCACATGTATAGCGACAACGGCACAAATTTTCATGGAGCCAACCACGAACTCCATCGACACTTTCAATCCTTATCGAAGGATGCTGAATTGCGAAACGCACTCGCAGGCGACGGAGTGAACTGGCATTTCATTCCCTCCGCCGCTCCACATTTCGGCGGCCTTTGGGAGGCCGGAGTCAAGAGCCTTAAAACGCATCTGAGGCGCGCTGTTGGTTCCCACACACTTTCGAGGGCTGAACTCGCGACGCTTCTATGTAAAATAGAAGCGTGCCTTAACTCGCGACCAATCGCTCCGCTTAGTGACGACCCGGGTGACTTGTCGGCGCTTACCCCGGGTCACTTTCTGATTGGACGGCCCCTCGTAGCCGTTCCGGAGGAATCGGTACTCGCGATCGACCCGCGTAGGCTCTCGCGATGGCAACTAGTCCGTGCCATGCAGGAAACCGTGTGGCCTGCCTGGTCACAGGATTATTTACATTCGCTTCAACAGCGAAACAAGTGGTGCAAGCAGTCTCCTAACTTCGCAATAGGCGAATTAGTATTAGTTAAAAGTCCCGTGCTCCCTCCGAGCAAATGGGAGCTTGCCCGAGTACAGCAGATCCATCCCGGTTCGAGTTGTGACCATACGCACCTCACGGTCCACATTGAAACGACCTATTGCGCAGTTATGCCGACTGCCAATACGTGATAACTCTAACGCGTCCGCAACGGATGAAACCGCTAACTTGTAAGAGTTATGTAATCTTCGAGACGACTTTCTCAGTACGAGTCGTCTTCACCTGTATGTTTTTTGTAATCATCTTCCTCGACGATTCGCTCCCGCTTCGTTTAAGTTTATTTTGCATTCGTTCGCATACGAGGCGGGCGGTATGTTGAAGATTCGTTCTTCGGAGCGAATCCTCGAGGACGATCGAATTTTCTAGAATGTTTTTTGTTAAATTCCTTAGTGTTTACGCCAAGGAAACACGTGAAACCAACGTGTACACTCGCCGCTAATTGGCGTGTGTACATCGCCTGATTTTCTGATGGTCCAATCGAGGACCCCGATCGGCTGCCGCCCTACGCGAGCTCCGAAATTCGCGCAGCCCTCGAGTCAGTCCTCGAGAGAGCGAGCGCCGAGAAACATAAGTCTCGTACGCGACAAACTTGTAAAAGTGAATAAACTAATTTAAACCGTTTCAAACGCGTACAATCATTTGATCACGTTAACCCGGCATCCTACAACGTTAAATCTTATACAGGTGTCTTTTTGTTAATGTCTTCTTTATCTTAGCCAATGCTTGTGTTTTTATCAATTCTGTATGCAAATTTATTGGCTGATATTCATCTGGGATAATGAAAGAACAGCCATCCAATGTATCTATGGAGGTTAGGCACAGTATGTTTGATTTCTCGTCTGCCGATCCTCTTATCGTAAACCCAAATTTTAGTGAGTCTATTTTCTTCTTTTTTATCATAAACGAATTGACGTTTTATAAGATAACTCTTTATTTTTCGAGATTTGATCAAACCAAATCACGTTGCTGTAAGAACAAAGTATTTATTTTGTCGGTTTATTACAGTATTTACATTATTTACAAACGTTCTCACCTGTAAGAACAAAGAAACGTCAATTAAAGTTTATTCTCCAATCCATCAATTCCCTCTTTCCACCGTCCTTGATCACTATTCTAATTTCTCTGATAATTCCTTTTCTCGTGTATTTCACCACGTGGTTTTTCTTCTTCTCGTACAGAACGCTCTCTATCTTACCCGCGTTCAAAAGCGCGGCAATTTCAATTTAAAGAAATTGTTGGAGAGCGAACAAAAAACCGACGAAATACCGGCGGCCGAGAATCGCTGATCCACACTCGATCTCGATGTCCGAGACCGAGGTCGCACAATCGAAAACATATTTTCGATCTCTGGATCGACACTCGGTTTTTGTCAGAGCGACAATTCAGCATTCTCGACGGTTTTTATATATTTGTCACCTTTCTCTTTGGCAGCGCGGGCGTCCTTCTCCTTACTTGCAGGGTGGATCGAGGAGCTCGGGACAGGGGAAAGGAGGCCCCGCGCTTACCGTTGCGCGCCTTTTCCGGGCAGTGTTTGCGAGCTGAGCTCTCTCGTTTGGTCACGCGAGCAAACGACCTTTTCACATAAGCGAACATTTATTGTCTTTATGCCTGTAATTTATCTTAAAATATACTTGTGAGTGGAGTAAGTTTGAGTAAAGTGTTATCGGATCCTGTCCCGTTTTCCAAAACTCATCCCTCTTTGCCTCCAACCGTATTCAAACGAACAATCGAACGGCGAGACAAGAACATTACTGGTCCTTCGAGCCGGATTTCGTGTGCGCGACTCCGACCACACGGTAAGCGATCTTATCTCTTTCTAAACTTGTATATTCTTAATATTGCTAGACATTAGACATTGCTGGACAATTTATTATTAACAATCATTATAGTCAGTGACATTTGCGACATTGACGTTTCGATCAGTGGAATAAGTAAAAGTGCGAGAGTGATCTCGCGATAGAGACAATAGTGCCGTTCCACGCCCCCGCGCGCGCTTCGCCTAGAGTTCGAGGGCCCGCTGCTCCGATTCTCCCGCCTAATGCCGTTCCGCGCTCCGCGCCCGTCTTGCCTATCGATTTGGACGATCCGTCGCTCCGCGCACGCTGCGTTTACGTGTTCGCGACCGCGATCAGCTGAGCGCACTTTCTCGGATTTTCACGTAAGATCGTCGCGCTTTGTTTTCACGCTCGTTTTTCCGTCTCGTATAAAGCTCCACGATGGAGGCCGCGCTGAAAAGACAAATGATCACAGCCGGCTTCATCGAGCGGTTTTGGGATAACCTTGTTAAAATCGGGAAAAATAAAATGACTTGATCGTTTCTCTCGGCGCGCCTTGAATTACTAGAAAGATACTGGTCGACGTTTTACGACGCTCATTACTCGCTCATGGATTTTGAAAAGGTGGACGCGTCCGACTATATGAAACGGGACATTTATTCATCGACCGAGGAACTTTATGTTAATATGAAGGCTCGTATCAACTCCCGCTCGTACATCCCACCGGCCAAAACCACGGAGTCAAAAGATGACTCGAGTGCGGTTATGAGGCAAATCCAATTGCCGAAAATAAATCTGCCGACCTTTAGCGGCGATCAGTTGGAATGGGAGGGTTTTCGCGACCTTTTCAAATCGCTAGTTCACGACGTGAACGGGCTCGGCGCGGTGCAGAAACTCCAGTATCTGAAGGCAAGCCTCACCGGGGAGGCCGCGGCCGTCGTGGCGAATATCGAGGTTTTCTCGGAAGGATACTCGTCGGCGTGAGAAGAATTGGAGTCGAGATACGACAACCGACGGGTGCTACTCGCGACGCACATGCGTGTCCTCCTCTCGGCTACGCTAGTGACGAAACCATCTGCGACAGAGATAAACCGCCTGATTAGGCATCGCGATGCCTGCCGTGAATCAGGCATCGCGCTCCTTCCGGGCAATGGGTCGCCCGGTAGAGCATTGGGACGACTGGTTCGTCCACATCCTAGTGGAGAAGCTGGATTCCGCTAGCCGCCTCCAGTGGGAGTCTTCGCGCAAGCAGTGACTTTCCGACGTTTGAGGAGCTCAAGGAGTTTCTTCTTACGCGGTCGCGCGCGTTGGACGCCGCCGCGCCGCGAACTTTGACACAGACGACTTCGGGTAAATCGAGGCGGACTGAGCGACGGGATGACGTCTCGTCACATGCAACCTCCATGAACAACGAAGAAAAGGGATCGCCGTGTCCGCTGTGCAAGGAACAGCACCCTTTGCAAGCGTGCCCGCGCTTTAAGGGATGCTCGGTAGAACAGCGCCGAGAACAAGTGCGTAAGCGGAAGGCATGCTTTAACTGCCTGGGACAGGGTCACACAGCAGGAGCATGTCCATCCTCATTCCGCTGCCGCCAATGCAACGAGAGGCATCACACGCTTTTTCATCTAACGGGGAACAATACGACGTCACCAGCGGAGACTCCTCGAGCTGCGGCAGAATCCACTGCACACTCGGAGAGGCCTTCGTTCTCGGAGGAGACTGGACAGGTAGCAGCGCTGTCCAGCTCCACCTCCGGTACAGTTCTCCTCGCGACGGCGCTTGTTCGTCTCATCGGAGAGTCGGGGAGAGCTCTAACAGTGCGAGCGCTACTGGACTTAGGCTTAGAGGCGTCTTTCGTCTCAGAGCGCGTGGCTCAGCAGCTGAGACTGCCGAGGCGTCGAGTCAACGTCACGGTCTCAGGCCTGCAAGGCGTCACCACCGGCATGGCGACTCATGCGGTGACCTTGATGGTTGGAGCTGACCGATCGCCATCTCTGCGGATAACAATCCCGAGGGCATTGGTGCTGTTCAGACTCACCGCGTTGACACCGGGAGGTCGAGTTGCGAGGCATGATTGGCCTCATCTTGAGGGTCTGAAGTTGGCGGACCCTGCGTTCGATAGGCCTGCAGCGGTCGACGCCGTGCTGGGAGCTGACGTATACGGCATGCTACTCAACGGTGACGTGAAGCGCGGCCGCCCAGGACAACCGACCGCTCACTCGACCGTCTTCGGGTGGGTGCTGATGGGCCCGCTCACCAGGGCAGCAGACTCGAACAGCATCGCCTCCCATCACAGTATACTACAGCCGGACCTGCAAGAGGACCTTCGCCGATTTTGGGAACTGGAGGGGGTATCCGCGGAGCCGATCCAAACTCCTGAGGAATCGTACTGCGAGCGACTCTTCGCAGAGACACACTTACGCGACGAGGGCGGCCGTTACGTAGTGCGACTTCCTCGAAGAGAGAACCCGCCGACGGGACTTGGAGCCTCTTGTCGGAGGGTCCAACAGATGCTGCTCAGCACGGAGCGTCGGCTCGAGCGGATGCCGGCGCTCAAGTCAAAGTACACAGAGTTTATGTGTTCTTATTTGTCGCTAGGACACATGGAGCTGGTGCCCAGCGGGGAGAAGGAAGCCTGTAGCTCTTACTACATGCTGCATCACACCGTAGTAAAGCCGACAGATCCTGAAGGGAAGATCAGGGTGGTCTTCAACGCCTCGTTCCGGACAACTACAGGCGTTTCTTTGAACGACGTGCTACTCTCAGGTCCAAAATTGCAGGCAGACCTCTGGCTTGTACTCACCCGTTGGCGCATGCATCAGTACGCGTTCACGACGGACATTGTGAAGATGTTCCGTCAGATTCGCGTCTACCGGGACGACACGGATTTACAGCGAATCCTATGGCGGGCGGACCTCGCTGCTGAGATACAGGAGTTTCGCCTCACCACCGTTACCTACGGTACGGCGTCCGCGCCGTATTTCGCAATTCGCACATTATTACAGCTGGCGAGGGATGAGGAATCCCGCTTCTCTCAAGGGGCGAAAGCTATCAGATCCAACACCTATGTAGACGACATACTTGCGGGAGCGAGCTCCCTGGAGGACGCCCTCGAGATCAAGCATCAGGTGGTGAGTCTTCTCAGGGTGAGCGGCTTCGAGTTAAGCAAATGGGCCGGATCACACGCCGCTCTATGCCCCGAGGGAGACAAGGCTGAGCGGCTCTTTCTAAAGACGGACACCGTCGGCACTCTCGGTGTGTACTGGGCTCCAACCACCGATCGGCTCACACTGAGAGCAATTCCGACGCTGCAGTCGATCGGTAAACAGACCAAACGGACCGTGCTCTCGGATATCGCAAGACTATTCGACCCGGCGGGTTGGGCTGCTCCTGTTCTTATTGGAGCTAAGGTCTTCTTGCAAGAACTCTGGATGGCCGGCCTGGATTGGGATCAACCGCTCCCGCCGACGCTGCGAAATCACTACCTGCGACTAGCGTCTGCCCTGCCGGAGTTGGACCGGTTGAGTGTTCCCCGGTGGACGGGAGTCACGGAGGCGGACGGCCGTACGAACCTACAACTGCACGGGTTCTCCGATGCGTCGGAGAGAGCTTACGCGGCCGCAATTTATTTAAGGGGCACTGGATCAAATGGCGCTCATACAACGAGCTTACTCGTCGTCAAGCGAAAGTCGCACCGGTGAAGCCGGTGTCAATTCCACGACTGGAGCTGTGTGGAGCCCTGCTCACCGCGCGACTACTCCAACGGACTGCCGCGGGACTTGGACTCACAAGCGAGAAAGTTTATGCCTGGACCGATGCCAGAGTGGTTCTTGCATGGTTGTGAGCACATCCCTCCCGTTGGAAGCCGTTCGTCGCCAACCGGGTGCCGCCGTCCAGGAGATCGTGTCGGCCGATCGCTGGCATCACGTTCCAACAGCGGAGAATCCAGCGGATGCTGCCACCAGAGGCATCACGCCCTGTGAACTCTCCAGTCTTCAGCTTTGGTGGAGGGGCCCCCCATGGCTGACAGGTCCGACCGAGTCCTGGCCGAAGGAGGCGCATGAAGACGTCGACAGCTGCGAGGAGCGCCGCTCGCACGCAGCCACGGTGGGCCACGGCACGAACGAAGAAAACGAACTTCTTACAAGATTCTCCTCTCTCTCTCTAAACTAATACGCGTTAGCGCGTTCTGTTTTAGGGTCCTCAGACGAGAGGCGCAGACGAGAACGACTCACCTCTCAGCCCAGGAACTGAACGACTGCCGATTACGATGGTTACGGATCGTGCAACGGCAGGACTTTGCGGGCGAGCTCAAGGCCCTCACGCGCGAGGCTCCTTTATCGAGGAAGTCTCCGTTGCGGGCACTGCGGCCATTCCTCGGACCGGATGGGTTGATCCGAGTAGGCGGACGACTGGAGAACGCGTCACTGAACTACAAAGAGAAGCACCCAATCGTCCTAACGAAAAGGAGTCATCTTTCGCTGTTACTGGTGTGTGACGCGCACTATTGTACGCTGCATGGGAGACCTCAGCTGACACGAAGCGTCTTGGCCCGGCGGTACTGGGTCATCCACGCCAATACGCTCATACGCGCCGTGATCCACTGCTGCGTGCGGTGTGCGCGCTTCCGCACCACCGCGGCCCAGCAACAGATGGGACAGCTGCCGGCCGATCGGGTGCGGATCATGCGCCCGTTCTTGTCCGCAGGAGTGGACTATGCTGGGCCAATCCAGCTACGCGCCTCGAAGGGGCGAGGGCACAAGTCCTACAAGGGCTACATATGCCTATTTGTTTGTATGGCCACTAGCACCTAGAAGCTGTATCCGACCTCTCATCTGCGTCGTTCTTAGAAGCTTTCAGACAATTCGTATCAAGACAAGGTCGCTGCGCGCACCTGACAAGCGACAACGGGATGAATTTCCGGGGCGCGGACCGAGAGCTTCGCGAGATGTTCGGCGCCGCCTCGGACTTCTATAAATATTGCAAGGAGTTGCTGGCTGCCGACGGCACCGAGTGGGACTTCATCCCACCTTCGGCCCCCCACTTCGGCGGGCTTTGGGAGGCCGGGGTCAAGTCCACCAAGCATCATCTCCGACGCGTCCTCGGGGAGCAGACCCCAACTTACGAGGAGCTTTCCACGCTCCTCTGCCAAATTGAGGCTTGCCTCAACTCGAGGCCGCTCAGTCCGCTGAGCGCGGATCCTACGGACTTTGTGGCTCTTACGCCCGGTCACTTCCTCATCGGCGAGGCTCCGGTCAATGTACCGGAGCCCTTCACGCTGAGGAACCCCCCCGGACAAACCCGTGTTAGATCTCGACTGATCTCTAATTTGCGTGATCATTTTTGGCGTAGGTAGTCGCAGGAGTACTTGCAGCACCTCCAACAGCTGATCAAGTGGAGAACGCATGGCCAACATCCAACCTGGCGCCCTCGTGCTGCTGCGAGACGACCTCCTGCCGCCTGCTAAATGGTCGCATGGACGGGTGCGAACAGTACATCCGGAAGACGACGGACTAGTCCGCGTCGTGACCGTCGACACGGCTACCGCTACGTTGAAGCGGTCGATCGCGAAGATCTGTCCGCTACCAGGGTCATCGGACCCTTAGAATCAACCGAGCAAAGGACGCAAGGCGGGCGACAGCCCTACATCTCCACCCTGTTTTGTCGCTAAGACGAGGCGGGCGGTATGTTGGAGAGCGAACGTAAAACCGACGAAATACCGGCGGCCGAGAATCGCTGATCCACACTCGATCTCGATGTCCCAGACCGAGGTCGCACGATCGAAAACATGTTACCAACGTCGATACAAAAATTGTGTCGATTATTTCACTGTGGACAACTATGATTTTGGCTACATGGACATGCCTTCACCATCGGTGTCATGCAAAACACAATCATCCGAAAATGATTCTGACCAAGAAATGGAGGAGGAGGAGGAGGAGGAGGAGTCAGATAGGAGAGAACCATCGTCATCATCATCATCATCATCATCATCGCCAGATTTCTTGTCGGCAGCCTATTTATCTTTTCTGTGATAAAATAGGTGTACAACATATGTGATATCAGCGTGTTCTGAGAGAGAGAGTAGATATGTCTTCGCGGAAGGTGTAAACATGTCGATAGACAACTACTGAGCAGCCGCTATTTTTGTTTCGTTGGAGATCATCTTTCGGAGATAATTGCATCATTGCATGAACAAAGGGATGACCGGGATATATAATGAGGACCGATGTCACTGCCAGGTCATAGTACGGTGACATTTCGGCGTAATAAGTGACTCGAGAATAAATTGTTTTTGTAATAAAAAATGGAGAAAGACAAAGAAGTAGTGATCTCCGACGATGAAGAGATGGAGGTGGTCGTCGTCCCGGATGACGAGATGGAGGTCATAACCATCTCCGACGACGACAGCGACAGTGATAGTGCGATGTACGACCCTGTGTACGACAGGGAGGTGAACAACGTCCTGGATGACATTGAGGAGATGGACGTTGATATCGTACCCATTGATGAAGACGGCGATGACGATGACGATGACGATGACGATGACGATGACGATGGGTACGATAGTGACAACGCTGTTCGGGAGTCGTGCAGCTCCCGCATGTATGGCATACGCGCCACTGCATCCCTCGACGAGACAGCGAGGGTATGCACTGTGGCGTCGTATGTCATGGCATTCGTCGCACCATGGGGGCCGATCAGGATCTGCTTTCGCTGTTTCGTGAGAAACAGGAGCAGATTCCTGAGCATCACAACCATCGAGGGACACACTACATCGCGGTACACAGCTGTACCCGAACTGCGTTGCGAAGATTGCCGGGAAAGACTATACGTGTTCTACCTGGCCAACGCTTGTCCCACATGTCAAGGACGTGAGTATATATATATATATATATATATATATAATATGTCAAAAAAATATATATAAAATATTAAATTATTATATTTCTATGCACAGATGTCGAGTCTGATGACAGCGATGGGTGATGCGACCCCTTCTCTCACTGTCCCGTCAGGGCTGTAAGTATATTAAAATACCAAAAAAAATCTATAAAATATTAAATTATTATAAATATAAATTTAACATATATAAGATAGGCAATAAGAGCCAAATCGCGGATGACAGTGCGTTATTCTAAACGAAACTAAATTTTTTCGTTAGAATTAAATACCTGTGCACAAGGCACCAAATTTTTACTTGGACACGGCCAAGATATAAAATTGGAATAATCTCTACAAGAGATTTTTAATTCCATGTATCCCCTATTCCCCCTAAAGAAATAAAGTGCGAGAGAAAAATATAGATCCGAAAGTCGCAGAATCGGGAATCGAACCCGAGACCTTTCGCTTGCCGGGCGACTGCTCTTCCAACTGAGCTATTCAGATCCTTTCGATTCTATACTTTTCTCTGTTATATATATTAATGTTGGTAAATAAACGCCTTTAAGCCAGCGTGTATAAATTAAGAGTTTAACTAGGCTCTGTAATATATAAATATAAATTTAACATATATAAGATAGGCAATAAGAGCCAAATCGCGGATGACAGTGCGTTATTCTAAACGAAACTAAATTTTTTCGTTAGAATTAAATACCTGTGCACAAGGCACCAAATTTTTACTTGGACACGGCCAAGATATAAAATTGGAATAATCTCTACAAGAGATTTTTAATTCCATGTATCCCCTATTCCCCCTAAAGAAATAAAGTGCGAGAGAAAAATATAGATCCGAAAGTCGCAGAATCGGGAATCGAACCCGAGACCTTTCGCTTGCCGGGCGACTGCTCTTCCAACTGAGCTATTCAGATCCTTTCGATTCTATACTTTTCTCTGTTATATATATTAATGTTGGTAAATAAACGCCTTTAAGCCAGCGTGTATAAATTAAGAGTTTAACTAGGCTCTGTAATATATAAATATAAATTTAACATATATAAGATAGGCAATAAGAGCCAAATCGCGGATGACAGTGCGTTATTCTAAACGAAACTAAATTTTTTCGTTAGAATTAAATACCTGTGCACAAGGCACCAAATTTTTACTTGGACACGGCCAAGATATAAAATTGGAATAATCTCTACAAGAGATTTTTAATTCCATGTATCCCCTATTCCCCCTAAAGAAATAAAGTGCGAGAGAAAAATATAGATCCGAAAGTCGCAGAATCGGGAATCGAACCCGAGACCTTTCGCTTGCCGGGCGACTGCTCTTCCAACTGAGCTATTCAGATCCTTTCGATTCTATACTTTTCTCTGTTATATATATTAATGTTGGTAAATAAACGCCTTTAAGCCAGCGTGTATAAATTAAGAGTTTAACTAGGCTCTGTAATATATAAATATAAATTTAACATATATAAGATAGGCAATAAGAGCCAAATCGCGGATGACAGTGCGTTATTCTAAACGAAACTAAATTTTTTCGTTAGAATTAAATACCTGTGCACAAGGCACCAAATTTTTACTTGGACACGGCCAAGATATAAAATTGGAATAATCTCTACAAGAGATTTTTAATTCCATGTATCCCCTATTCCCCCTAAAGAAATAAAGTGCGAGAGAAAAATATAGATCCGAAAGTCGCAGAATCGGGAATCGAACCCGAGACCTTTCGCTTGCCGGGCGACTGCTCTTCCAACTGAGCTATTCAGATCCTTTCGATTCTATACTTTTCTCTGTTATATATATTAATGTTGGTA